GAGAGAGAGAGAGAGAGAGAGAGAGAGAGAGAGAGAGAGAGAGAGAGAGAGAGAGAGAGAGAGAGAGAGAGAGAGTTGTTATATCGAACATCCACGAGAGATGAACAGTGTCGAGATAAAGATGAATCTACGCGGGGAGAGGGATACGAAATAGGGTGGACGAAGGGAGAAGGACCGTTCTTTCATAAGCACAAAGGGGAAAGGTGAGAGAATAACAATCGTGTCGCGAGAAGAGAAGAAAATTTCGAATGCAAGAACAAGAGGATGACTTCCGTTTCGTTCGGAGGGTTTGCGGGAGGATGAATGAATCCGTTGATTCACGTAGTTTCGTTTTAACCGTTGAATATTTGATTGACCCGCAGACGTGGCAAGATCACCTTAACCCTTTCTCCGCCGCGCCAAAAATGTGCACGGTGCTCGAAAAAGATCGCCAGCGTTTACTCCTCACTGTAATCCAAATTGCTTTGGCGGTATTTATTGAAAAAAACAAAATCTTTCTCTACGTTTCGAGAAAAAGATACTCGATGCGCAAATAATTCCAATCGCTCGTCATATCGTGCAATATGCGCTATTTTATGCAGAGCAATTTATAGTCGTAATATGCCCGTAGAATACCTCAGTGAATACATCTTGTGTAAAGCGATTATAGTCACCCGTAGAATACCTCAGTGACATCTTGTGCAGAGCGATTGTAGTTGCCCATAGAGTATCTCAATGGCATCTTGTGCAGAGCGATTATAATTACCCGTAATATCTCAATGGCTTTTTGTGCAGAGCGACTATAATCACCCGTAGAGTACCTCAGTGACATCTTGTGCAGAGCAGATGATTGTAGTTGTCCATAGAGTATCTCAATAGCATAATCACATAATATCTCAGTGCCTTCTTATGCAGAGCAGCTATAGTCGCCCGTGGTATTTCAGTGGCATCTTGTTCAAAGCGACTTTATAGTCACCGATAATAGCGAAAAGGTTAAAACCGCTAACACAGCTTAATTTCTTTCTAACCTTCGGTTTACTCTCTCGGTGGAAAACCTCTCTTCAAATCGAAACCGGAGAATATCGCCAACTTCTCTCGTCTCGCGACTCCTCGCCCTCTCATCCCTCCCCCTCCGACCTTTTAATCGATCGAAACTTCTTTTTTCTCGTTTCAGAACATCGTCGAGTGGCTCGACATCGTCCGAGAGCAAACGCGAAGAACGAAGGGAGGGATCTCGGAAGAGAGTGACCATGGAATGGAAACATCATTTGTTCACGGACGGAAAAAAAAGAAAGAAAAAAAGGAATCGCAGTTGGATTCGACGTTCGGGGAAAAAAAAAAAAAAAAAAAAACAACAACGATGAGATAGAAATCTCTGGCCGTCTCTTTTCCTCCTCCAACCCTTCTCTTTCGCAATCCCGAAAACGCGAGAAACGTGATAAACGTTGGCCGCGCGAACTAGCGCCACCGACAAAACTATCGTGGCCAAATCAAATTTAAGTCCCATGAGTGTAAACTGCATTTACGGAGATATGTTTTTTCAGGCAGTGCTCGCGCGGTCTGTTCCAACAAGTTTAATTTTCTCTCCCGGGATCCCCCATCCCGCTCGTCAATCATTTACGCGTATCGAAAATTAAAACTTGAAATTCGCAACGCGGAAATCGCAAAAGTATCGATTTTTCCTCTCGCGTCCGTTTCCATTCCCATCGAAGAGGGGAGGGGGAGGGGGCGTCGTCTTCCGACGTTTTTACGCGTCAGAAGCATCTTTCTTGAAAGCGAATCCATAATTTTCCTTTCCTTTTCTCGTCGTCGTCGGTGGGGAGATTTATATACCGCGAGGTAAAAAGGTGGAGAGTGAGAGAGAGAATTGGGGAGGGGAGGAGGAGAGCAGGGAAGGCGTCGTAAACCTTATCCGCGAGCACGTGCGAGCATCGTTAGAACACCACGTGGACGCGACGATTTCGTTTTACGGGATTGCAGGGAGAAGGGCAGGACACGGCCGATCCCACGGATTTCCGGGATCAACGAGTCTTTCCACGAGGCGACTAACAGTCTTCGAGGCAGGGGCGTAATTGACGCGGTTAAGTTCAAGAAATTTCGAAAAACTTTAACTCCTCGTCGGATTTGTTGTTCAACGTACAGAAATCTGTCTAGAAATTTTCTTCCAACATCTCTGCAAGATTAAATCGATAATGAAGCTCGTCGCGAGGCGATTAATTGTTTAACGGCGGGAACAACTGCCTCGAGGAACGACCAACGTGTTCCAAATCAATCGTGAAAAAGACGCTCCTCGATTTTCGAGCGACAGTTCGTCGAAAATCGCGTACGTTCAGACGCGTCCAGGACGCCCTTGTACAAAGTATTCCTTCTATTCCCTTCGAGCAGCGTGTGTGTGTGTGTGTGTGTATGCGCGCGTCCAAGTGCGGCGCCGATCGATCGAGACGTCGAACTCCAGATCCATACGTTCTGTTCTATATATACGTAGACGGGGTTTTTTAAGGAAAAATCGTGGATGGGAAATTGGTGGGAGGGAGTCGTTTGCGGCTCCACTTTCGGTCTCTCCGCGACGAGGGTGGTGGTTGCGTTATTACCGGGCCAAGGCTGAAGAAATCAGGCGGCAGTTTAATTAACGGAGCGTTCGCGGCAAGCATCGCCTTAAGAATTGTTACGGCCTCGACATCGAGGCGAGTAATTGCATTTTCGGTGCACCGTCGTCGAATCGTAATATCGGCCTCGATTGGCCTCGGGAATGGGCAACGAGGGTGGAGAACACCCTCGCGCGTTGATAATAAAGGCGAACGGGACGACAACGATGGCCGAGTTACTCGTTAAGAAGAAGAAGAAGAAGAAGAAGAAGAAGAGCAAGAAGTAGAAGAAGGGGGCCAAAACGGGGCTGTATAACGTTTCTCCAGACTGTTTCTGCAATAAAAAAACATTTATGTTAAAATTGGCCGAAAACTCGGACTTAAATTATCTTTCGCGTCTCTATCGATCGGGGAACACACGCACGCTTAATTTTTACATTTTTTAGAACTATTAAAGGATTACGTATAAATAGTTGTCGAACGAACGAGCGAACAGTGTTCCAGCGTTCTTCCGCGAGAGAAGAGGAAACTACTTTTGCCATTTCTAGCAATATATCAAAAAAGAAAAAAAAGAAAAAAAAAAAAACTTTGCGAAGAGAAGAAAATCGTGGCAGCGTATGATGTCCGTGCAAGCTTACTAGTGCCGCCGTGCTTTTTCGTTACAAATTCATTTCGTCGCTCGTACCTATCGAACGATTTATATGAAAGTCATCGTAAGTCATCGATGGCGCGCCGTTCCGTTCTCTAATGCCATCCCCAAACTAATTATTCCTTATTTCGAATATTTTAACCACGATGTATGGTGTATACTATGATTGAAAGATCCTAATTTCTTTTCGATCGATCGTTATACTAAAATAGAGAGGAAAAAAAAAAAAATAAAAGAGAATAAACGTAACGTAATATTAAAGTTACTCGACGTAATCGACATTGGAACGGAACGACGGGTCTAATCATAGCGAACACAAAAGAAAAATGTATTTTATGATATTTTACGCATAAAACGATCGTAAATTGAAATATAGCGATTAGTCCAAGAAAATAAATAACTTAAGTAGAGGTGTATAAAAAAGAAGGCGAGATGTGCATAGCGTCGCGCAATATTCACTGAGGGCTGAGAAGTGAACGCGTCGATTTTGTCGAGCGAATGAAACAGGGCCGCGGAACGGTGATCGCGTGCGAACGATTGTACCAACCACGTTCATAGTTAATTATCTATAGAGGATCGTCGATCATTAACGTCAGCCCCGTAACGAGATCATCCTGTGCCAGGATCGCATCATCGAACTATGGAAAATGCGACCAATCTATTTCCGGAAAGTTTGATTTTTCCCTTTTATACGAAGTCGAAGGAAAATCGGCTTAACGATCCGCGGGAATCAACCCTCTCATTCAGATAACATTAAGCGCTACTGTAAAATATTGTATATTGTTTCACGTTATTTATTTTTCAATGTTTTTTCTAGGAGACGCGTTTTTACGATACTCAAGAGAAATTATCGCGTAATGTTACATAGAAACATGAAACTCGTTCTGATCCGCGGTGCTGTGCCTACTTTTTCGTCACGAAACGGACCTGTCAGTTTCCCAGTATCTTCTAGTATTTACGAGACGAGCGTTATAAATTATAGAAAGGGCAAATTACGATTTAGAAGATGATAAAAGAATTTTTGATCATTGTTCAGATTTTTACAGTCACAGCGGATCAGCCGGATTAGAGTAATGAAATTTATAAAATTTCAACGTATTTCCAGCAGCTTTTGCAATGTGTTAAAACTAACCAGAGAAACCGAAGCAAATCTAGTCTAGGCGAGATTTAAGAGAGTAAGAGCTTGCGCGTTAAAGATTATTACGAACGTGCCGTCCGCCCTCAAAATGATCGGACGTGATCATAAGTGTGAAGCGCGCGAACGCAAGCTTGCCTTGTTCTCGAAAGTTAAGTAATGTTAGTTTTTTGAAAATGGGGGCCGATCAAACGATTCGTTTCGTTCGTCGACTCGTGACAGGAAACGATTACGTTCCGCTATTGTCTAATAGCGAGCGAAGTGCACTATGGATCGTATGGCTAATTCTAGCAGCACGAAATACTAACGAGTTAATAGCAAAATTGTTGTAAGGGAAAAACGAACGCTGCAGATATTAACGAAGCATAAGCCGCTGTTGATGTTTCCTAACATGATCTTCGATTTCGATCGAAGAGATCGGTTACAATAGGTACCGAGAATGTTATGACCAAATACCAATTATTTGACATCGCGAAATAAAATTAAAAAAAAAAACCGAAGAAGAAAAAATTTACTTAAGACACGAGATTTATATTGAATTTCATTTAAAGACAAAATCATTCAAATCCGCCGCAATTATACCTAACGAGATATGCCTAGTCAACGTGTACGTGCTCCTAAGGTATTTTCATTCCGCATTTATCCATTTCGAGATTTTGTTCCGATATTCGTGTAACATTATTTAATGATAAATTACGATAATTAAAAAAAAAAAAGAAAAAAAAAGAAAAAAAGAAAAAAAAAACAGAATGAATTCGATAAATTTGGAGCATTCGTACACTTAAAAATATTTATGTAATGCTAACGATGTTACTTGCGATTTGGTATATGACGAACGTCAAACACGAAAAATATTTTATTCTAGTCGTATCTTTCATGCTTTGCCAAGTAAAATAATATAATTCCTGTGTTAAGTGTAATAGTCAATTATGTTTTAATAAAATCTGCCAAGATTCTTGTCAATACTTTTCTTTCCCTAATCACGTAAGTAAATTATTAAATGAATAAATATAAATAATATAATCATAAAAGTATATGACTAGGAAATTAGGATTCTCTGAGGAGAATTGGAAAATCCTACAAATCCAAGTGAACGTGCTTATAAAATTATCACAATTATGTCAAAATATATATTCGTATAAAAAAACTCTTCGTAGATAATATTGATACATATGCATGTTCGAACAAATATTCAAATTCTTAAAAAGGACATGATTGCTTATAAGTTATAATTATTTGTATAAAATAAGAAATTTAAATAACAGTCTTAATATTAGTTATAGCTAAAAAGATAAAATGAACATATGCTTCATATATACATATCAATTATCAAGAAAAAATATATAATACCTAAACATTCTTATAGCTAACTATGGTATCCATTTTGTGGAGAGAAGTTGAAAATGATCTTAACTGTACTTCTTGACTGTTCGCGATAAATACTGGTTGTGTTTCATCCCATTCTTTAGGAATACCACAGTCAGGTACGGTATAAGTCAAAATATCAAATGAGCATAAACAATCTAATAATGGAAGAAAACTTACAGTACCTGAAATACGAAAGAACCAACAAGACGGATTGTAATATTTTATTAATGTAGAAACGTTTTAATAAAAAATCTTAAATTTGAATTGAATGCGATAAATTACCTGTGATCTGACGTATGACTTCACGAATCTCCTTTTGTATAGTTTTTACATCCTTTGTACCCACTTCCGGAAAACTATTGTTCGTATTGTCATTACTACCATTAGAAGTCTGACCTTCGTAATCTACTTTGAAATCCCATTTCTCTAAAACTTCTTTGGTATTTACATTTGTTATAACAAGTGTTATCTTTTGTACTTTTCGTTGAATAAGCCATTCTTGAATCTGACCAAGAACAGTATTTAAAAATCCTTTGATCTTTTCATCCGTCGACATCAAAACGAACAAACCAAAATGTTCAGCATGTTCAAACGTTTCTGGCGGATAAATACCTCTTTGGTATAAAATGCTGTTTACTCCATAAACTGCAACAAAAAAACATATATAAAAAATATAATATAGTATAATAATGATGCATTCAATAAAATTCTAGGTAGTGTTCGACAAAAATATTTTAAAAGAATATACGATATAAAAAATACGATCAACTTACGAAGATATTCTTTAACCAACTCTGCTGAACCTTTCAACGTAATACACTTTGTTTTTTGCTGAGTTTCTGTCATAATTTTTAGAAAGATCTAACACAAAATACAATGAAATAACCTAAATTTCTGTTCAAAATGTAACAGTTTTACAGATTACGAGAAAGGCGGTTTATCATTTGAAAATATCCAATGCACTACCTACTGACCGATATTTCACCAATCACAAAATAGAGGAACGTTCATAAAATAAACCATGATTTGACGCACAATTTTAAAAACAATATCGATTACAAAAAAAATGTAACATAATTAAAGGAAATCAATTCAATTCACTTTCGAAATATAGATAATTGTAAATAAATTATAAATATTTAACTATTTTAATTAATGTACCAAAATTAAATTAAACTTATCACCAATCGAGAATTACGTCATATCATATGTGTTCCACAACTAACATGTTACCATACAGGAATAACGCCATCTTCGATCAACGTAATTCGCGTTCGATTGTAGCGCCATACATATAAGAATGGAGAACGTGTGTGATTATCGTGCATCCAATTGCGGTTAACTTTCAAGCTCTTTTCACGCGTCCATCATGGCATCCACTGAAGAACTGAGTGTCTCTGCTCTTGTATACGATTATTTATTGAAAAAAGACGCGTCACTGGCAAAGGTTTTTCAAAAGAAAACGAAAGCGGTAAGGTTATAAGAAACTTTTATATATATATATACAGTAGTTGATCGATTTTCAAGATGTTAATATCCATGCGGTACCAGAAGTACCGCCATTTAGCCGTACCACGTGGGCAGTTATATTCGTTATTTTATATTTCAAATTTATATTAAAATAAAATTGTCTATATATTCTCTTTATCTTCTAGATAAATGCTATTTAATACTTTTAAACATATGTTCCTTATGCGAAATATCATGGATAATAATTAATTTAATTGTAAAAGTAATACGACCTTCATTCACGATCATTTATTTTCTTTTTAGCCCACATTGCCAAAAGGTGCACCAACAATTCTAGATGTATACCAACATTATCAAAAAACATCTCAGAAAAAATTAAATGTAAAAGCACAAGCTAAAGACAGCAGTTCAGATACAAGTTCAGAAAGTGAGGAAGAAACACCAAAAAAAATTTCTCAAATAAATGGTAAAACTACAGTTAATGCTGTAATAAATAATAAAAAAAATGAGTCTTCTTCAGAAGATACCTCCAGCGAAAGTGAAAAAGCACTTAAAGTAGTTACAAAAGCTAAAACTGCTGTTAAAACATCTAAAGCATCACCTGTAAAGAAAAAAGAAAGTTCAGATGAAAGTTCTTCAGAAGAGGAAGAAGAGACACCAAAAACACAACCTAAAGCAATATCAACACCTAAAGTATCTAAAGAGCAAAAATCTTCAGATGATTCTGATTCAGAAAGTGAAGAAGAATCTAAAACAAACATAACCGCAAAAACAAATACAATTGTAACATCTAAGGCAAAGGTTGGAACCGATAAAAAGGAATCTTCAACTGAAGATAGTAGTGAAAGTGAAGATGAAAGTCCAGTTAAGCCAGTATTAAAGAAAGCAACAACGCCTATTCCATCAACAAAAACAAACACAGCAAAAAAAGAAGAATCTTCCAGTGATGATTCTGATGATTCGTCAGAAGAAGAAAATGCTAAACCACAGTTACCAATCAAAGCTAAACCAATTATAAAATCTGCCAATATTACTAAACCACAGGAATCGTCAAGTGATGATACTGATGATTCATCAGAGGAAACAACTGTAGTAAAGACATCAGGTACTATTTCTAAATCTAATCAAGAAAAGAAAAAACAAGAAAAAAATGTTCAGCAAAAGAAAGAAGCAGTAAAAGTTGGAAAACAAAATAAAGGTTTAACTACTAAATCAACAGTAACAGTGACTAAAGAAGAATCATCATCTAGTGAAGAAAGTAGTGAAGAGGAAGCTAAAAAAACTAACATTCTTCAACCAACATCAGTTGCCACTAAAAAGATTCCATCTAAAAAAGAAGAGTCTTCTAGTGAAGATAGTAGTGAAGAAGAACCACAAGTTAAAAAGGTCCAACCAGTAGCACCATTTTCATTCATCACAAAAAATGTTCCAGTTAAGAAGGAAGAGTCTTCTAGTGAAGATAGCAGTGAAGAAGAACCACCAGCCAAAAAAGTTGCTGCTTCAGTAGCACCGGTAACACCAAAAAAAGTGCCTGTTAAGAATGAAGAATCTTCTTCTAGTGAAGATAGCAGTGAAGAAGAAGAACCATCAACCAAAAAACCTGTTTCTGCCAAAGTAACATCAGCTAATACCGTAGTTAAGAAAACAGAATCTTCTAGTGAAGATTCTGACGATTCTGATGAAAATGAAAAATCAATTACAAAATCAGTAGGAAAGAAAGATGAGTCTAGTTCTGAAGATTCATCTGAATCTGAAGATGAAAAACCAGTCAAAACACCAGTACCTACAAAAACAGTTACAAAAACTGATACTAAAAAGGAATCATCCAGTGAAGATTCCGATTCAGATTCATCAGAAGAAGAAAAACCAAAAACAATGCCTATTATTTCGAAATCAAAAACAACAGAAATTAAACAAGATACAGGAGAAAAATCACAAAAAACACCTAAAGCTGAGAAAAGGAAACATAAAGAAATAGAACAAGAGAAAGATGATGAGGATGCAGGAAAACCTCCAGCAAAAGCTCAGAAAAATAATTATAGTAATTTTGTAAAGGCAAACAATAGTTTTAATAATGATAAGGTAATTATATCATATTTAATATATTTGTTTAAAAAAAATTTTTTTATTTATGAAATTGTATGTTTAGCAACCAAAAAATACTCCATTTCGTCGTGTAAAGGATGATGAGGTAGAATTGGATCCCAAATTGGCTAACAATTCTTTTGAGGCAAAGGTAAATGCTTGGAAACATCTGAAAAGCACAGATCACTCGCCGTTTTATATAAAGCTTGAGACCATGTTTCCGTGCATTCACCAACTCCTTTTTTAATTTTCCTATTTTTTCTTTTTTTCTTTTTTTTTTTTCATAGAAATTTTAAAAAGAAAGAGATAAAAATAATTGAAAAAATGTTTATGAATATGTATAGAAAACGGCGATTGACCTGAGTTTCTCTTTTGTTTTAGGAGGACAATCAGGAAGAGGGTGGTTTTAAGAAACATGGTGGAAGGGGTGGATTTGGTGGAGGCAGAGGCGGTTTCGGTCGTGGTGGATTTAAGGGAGGTCGTGGCGGTGATAAGGACAGGGGTGGGCGCGGTGATAGGGGAGGTAGAGGTGGTTTTAAAGGTGGTCGAGGAAATTTTAAAGGTGGTTTCGATAACAGAAGATCATGGGGTGGGAATGATAGGGGGAATGATAACGAAGGAGGCAAGTCCGACGGATTTAGAAAATCATGGGGTAATAATGAAAGAGGTGGTCGCGGTGGATTTAGAGGGGGTAAAGGCAATTTTGACAGAAAAAGATCATTCGATAGTACACCGGTACAAAATAAAAAAATAACGTTTGACGATTGATGATGATAAAGATATATATAAAGGTGAGGGGTAGTTAGCTCAGACTAATCAAGTATCGAAGTAAATGTTATTATAATAATAAAAATATAATTTTTTTCTTTTTTTCAACAGAAAGGTGCTCGTGGTTCTTGGGGAGAAAAAGCGAATCAAGACCTCAAATACACGAGAGGAAAGTCATTTCGTCATGAAAAGACGAAGAAAAAACGTGGTAGCTACCGCGGCGGTCAAATAGATACTAGCGTCAATTCTATTAAGTTTGACGATTGAATAAACATTATATTGTAAAATATAAATGAAATGTTTTAACAGTAGTAACTCGTATATTTAGTTAAGTGAACAGATAGAAGAATATTAGGACTGTTTAAGTTTTCCTTAATAAGACACTTTGTTAATATCTTTGAGAGCACACATTAACGCTATGTTACAATCATAGAATATAAATTTTATTCATTTTATTATTACATAAGTTATTTTCACGTAGTTCTTTTTTAATAATTAGTATCTATAAGACTGCAAATTAAATATATTTGACGAAAATCTCTACCACTTATTTTAATATGAGGAGTATAATTTATGAAAGATACTTCGATACTGACTTTTGAATTAAAAATTAATGAATTAATGTTGTCTATTGCAATATGTAACATATTTCATAAATTATCCTTCCTAGAATTTATAGGAAATTTGATAGATATCATTTAATAATTTACCAATTAAAACTTGTAAAAGATGTTGCTTAAAAGAATCCTAGCTTTACTTATCGTCAAGTGTATCGGGGGAGAAAATTTTCTGAAGATACATTCTTAACGGTGTTCAGTTTTCAATAGAAATGTGTTTTGACATTGCTTTTTTATAATTAATAATAAGAACTTACGATAATGTCAAATTGTTCACAATCACAATGAATTCTGGTCAAAAATTCAAATTATAAAATACAATTTGCAAACTAATGTTTATATGTGTAACAGTTAATATTCAAAGAAATTTTATAATTAATTTATACGCAAACAATTCGATCTAATTGGCAATCAGATTAAATAAAAAAACAGTATCAACACAATTTTGGGTATTTGTTGAATTCTTATCATTGTTCGTTTAAAAACACGTATACCTTGTCATACATTATCACGAAATAATTATAAAAACAATTTATCATTGTTATATTATTATTTTAATCTTGATATCTCCGTAAATATTATGTTAATATTTTTTATAATTCATAAATGATTATAATCTTTTTATATAAAAAATAATAATTCCGATGAAGATGCAAACATTAGATAGAAACTTTTTGATGAAATATAAAAGAAAAAGAGGGGCGTTCTTAGTTACCCTTTTTCTCTTCAAACTTTTTCTTCAATAAAAGAAAAAAAAGTTTCGAGGTAGAATAGGGGCCGATATTCCTCGTCTCATCCCCTCTTTTTCCTTGGCTCTACCAGAGCACAGAGAATGGTTACTTACGATTCTACAGTCAACCTCTGGACATCCACCTGTGAGGACGGAGGTGTTCGACCCCACGACATCCGGTGCGGTGACATGAACAGTGTTTAAGGAAACTCGTGTGCCCCCGTTTTAATTCAATTCCTTCTTCCACCAGAATATTGCGATCAATTCATGTAACGCGTATAACTAATTGTATTGTCAAACAGACCGAGAAAACGATTCAAGTTCACAGTGTTAAAAATGGTCTTCCTCATGGTGAGTGACATCCTGTAGACTGTAACAGACATTAATTAAACATTTTCATGACTGAATCGTTGAACGTAACATCACAAAATGGTACGTACAAATTTTAATGACTTGAAAGCTTATCGGTTCATAATGTTCTCCAATGATTCATTTAAGTTAGACATTAATTCTGATCTAAATCGAATATCAAAATAAAGTAATTACATTCTGGAATCGCAAATTGAATTTCAATTTTTATTTTATGGTCTTAAATTTAATTTAGAGCTCCTACATTTTTACAATTAAAATTTTAATACAAACAGAATGGAGTAGTAAGAAAAATTATAATTTAAACTTTTCGAGATAACATATGAATTGATACAACGAAAACACGTTGATATTTCAAAAAAAGATTCTTTTATAAAAAAAAATAACGAGATATTTTAAAAGGATAAATGAATAACAATTTTAATTCCTTCCTAGATAACTTCTGATTATAAAATTCTAATCCTTTACAATCTTTTACCCTTACCCTCTTCATTTACTCTATTTAATATTTAGCCTGTTTTATATCATAACACATAAAAGTGATAATTAGCTATTGATTAGAAAATCATCACGGTGCGGAGGCTGGAAGAAGAGGAATTCCAATACGTAACAAGTCCATGACAGTTATAATAATATATTCATGTAACGAAGAACCAAAATGACTGTACCGTTAACAGAGACCAAGAATGAGTAAATGTATACTCGATAAAAGAACGAGCGAAGAGAAAAGAGCGTTTTGGACGATTCATCTTTACCGTTAGAACCAACCGCATGACACGCTCATGGTCCACGAGGAATCTTCTCCTGACTACCGGAAGCATAATTTTTCCTTAACTTTTTTCTTCGTTATGTCTCATCAATTCTGTTTCATCTATCAATTATTACGTATAATTATTTTATCTTGTTCGAAGCAATTTCACAATTCCAGTTAGGTAAACCTCGTTTCAATTCGACCGATTCGAATGTTTCCACGATCAGAGATATCCAATTAATTAATCCTGTTTTAATATATTAACAGTACTTTCCCGATGACTTACTGGGAAAAATTTCTAAATAATAAAGTGAAAAGTTACAGCACAAATAATTGTTTCTGTCGATGATGAATGGAAACCCATGAAAGACCTCGATCTTCCAAGTTCAAATGATTCTCACGTCTTTCTTAACTCGGTCTTCTCTTTTTCTTCAAGATCGCCGTTATATAATTCATCGAAGCTTGACCAAGATAGTTATTCGATAGCCTTTATCGTGCGATCAATATCACGCGAAGATCACGATATTTAATCCATAAAAAAAATTAGGAAAGGCTACAAAAAAACAAATGTACGTTAATTCCATTTTTTTAAATGCTTGTGACGAGATATATTTAAATTCTTAAAATCAAAAAATATTCCCATATTTGCGTCTGATTCGATCGAAGATAGTCCTGCATCCTTTACGATATTATCGCTGAACTATATACAATTTAGTTGTTTCTTGTGATACAGGAAGAATACTGGACAACACATCCTGAAGAAATAGATGCGCGATACCAGTCACGGCCAATGACCAGCCTTGGGTGCTATCCAATAATGATTTTCTTCTTTTCCTTTCCCACGCGCAATTTATCACTTGGGCAAACATGAAACCGCAATTTTATACCGCGTTGACTATACCATTCAATTTCAATTCGTCAAATAATAATTGAATTAAGTTAAAAAAAAAACTAGATCAAACGTTTCTCGAAATAAAAGTATTCGAAATTGAACAGCTGCATGCTATCGCGTTGCTTTCACTCGTATTTGATCGACAACGAGAAATACATAGCGGAAGTTATGTGAACCTGGCAACCTACAAACCCCAAACTCCATACATGAATTCATATTGGTTACGCGCGTTCGTTAATTATTATTCTCGAATGCATACTTGTTCTCTCGATTTTCATCGTTCGTGAGGCTCGAAAGCGAAAAAGCTCGAGACCAGCCCGTGAAACGGAACCTCTGTCCAAGAACAGAAGCAGAGAATAATGATAGACTTAAAGGCGATTATTAAATGAAATAAAAGCGTACGAATCTTGATCCCACGCATGTATCGGTAATGAGAGCGTGCCAGAATGATTCGAAATGAATTTTTTCGGCCACGATGCATCACCGATCCAAAGCCATTTGTGTGCCATTTACTTTTGCTCTTGACCTCGTGCGAACCCGAGTTCCAAGTCTGTTCTCACTCGCATAGTGGGTCCTTGTAATCCGAGTCCAATGCCAGTTGTGATTGTTTTATTCATGAGATGTTGCTCGTCGGTTTAATTAGTTTTCATTAATGTACGTATCTTTTAAAACGGCTCTTGATACGTGAAACTATCTATTCGTTTCCACGCTTTCGTTTTATAGAAACACACGATTATTATTATTATTTATTATTATTATTATTATTATTATTATTATATCGTAATTCACCAACCTAGTTTTTAGGAATTCTGTTCTCGAATCGATAAGCAATCCAATTCAACCGGAACAAGCGTGTTGTTGTTATTATTACAGCTTTTGATGTAATTTCAGATGTCCAGGTACCTCGGTCTGATTCTGCTCGTTATTACAACATGCGCCCACGGAGCCAAAAAATGCGAGGGAAATGGGTTGGGCCTGAAATATGTATGGGGCGACGCGCTCACGGATCCAGCTGATTGCATAGGTCCAAATAACGTGCAGTATCCGTCGTAAGTGTCCTCTCCCCACAAAGCTCCCCAGCTAGAATTTGAATGAATCATTTTTACTCGAGATTTCGTTATCGACTGAACGAATGACTGTCACAGAGCCGCAATATCGAGAAATTACAAGAATCTTTGGACGAACAGCCGAATTGCGAGATCCCACCAGGCACGAACGATCGATCCTGAATTAACGAGGCAGGCGCTATTGCACAATTACAAAGTTACTCATGGAGATTACTCGATGGCCGAATCCTCTCGAAACGGTGAGTTGGCAGAGTTAACAGATTGTTGCTTATCTATCTTTCAGAAAGCAGGTGTTTCAGAAAGATTCATTCCTTTGGAGAAGTTCACGATCAAATTCGTGAACGTGTTTTGGAAATGACGTTTCCTATTCGGTCGAAAAACAATTTAACGGATTTAACGATCGAATCGAGAACGTGGCTTGGTTGAAAACACGCGGAAGACGAACTTGTCTCTCTTCGTACGAAGCGCAACAGTAGTCGAGCCGGTTACCTGAATCACGAATAATTACGCACAACTATAACCTACATCCGCGTCGAACATAAGTGATGTATTTATCCTGCAATTGCTACTCTCTTTGTCCAAATATATAAGTATATATACTGTTCATTTGCATACTAGCTGCGCTCGTATACACACGTGCAGTAACCCTCAACAGACATTACGCTGGTGCTTAACTTATAATTATTGCAGTTACTCCTTCGGGATATTACCATACGCTTTACGAGGTTATTGTACTCTGGTCCGGTAATATGCAAACATTGTATTCTCGTGTGCTAGCATTTCCACGATCAACGTGTTCTCGGTAATTCGCTATGGAATATGCTTTTTTACTTAAAAAAAAAAAAAACCGTTTTACCTTATATTCGCTGAATACTTCTTTATGATATCGTTGCATCTATGATAAGAACGATCTTTGAAAAGCGTACCCTTGTTCCAAAAAAAAAACTGTAGTATTATTCTGTAAAGATTATGCAGTCCCACGAATGCTTCCGAAGAATCCTCAAAGTCGCCTTTAATATTGGAAGCATATTGGAAAACGTGTAAAAATCGGAACAACCGGTTGCGCGATATATCGCCACTTTGCAGCCTTGAATTATGCAGTTGTTCTTATGACACGAAAACCCGATTCCGATTGAGCTCAACACCCGCTGCACGCGTTTATCCGATCAATTCTTTTCCTTTCTTCAAATTCATTCGTGGCTTGTCACTTCACGATTTAACGTCTATACGCGCGAAAAAAAAAAAATGCATCAGCTCAAGCATTATCGTTCACCAAGCGGATTATTCGTCCTTTAAATAATGACTCGCTGGTGCAGGAGGACGGTAATAAGGCACCGTGTTATCCGGCCAATACAGTTATCGCTCGTTCTGCTCATAACGGGACACTGGCGACCCACTCGTTTCGAACACACGAACCGACAGAATTCCGAAGAAAGGGCGTGAATCTCGTAAACAAGTTTAAGAGAAACCTCCTTCTCTTTCTGATCGTTATCCAGATTTTCTAAAATTTTTTTATTTTTTATAATTTTAAATAATTCCTGCGTGATTTTTTCCCAAGAGTTTTTTGCAAGGAAGTTGTATATTTTTTTTTCTCGAATACGATGAAACGTATTTTGAAAAATTATAATAAATATCGAGAAATCTTTATCTTTTTTATGTGGATCGACGTGCTTTTTCTTTTAGGCAGAGGATTTTCCTCGAGGGAAACATGCGGTTCACCAGCTAGATTATGCAAAACGAGATACAACACTACGGCACCTATGTACGGAGTCAGTTTAACCAGCGGCCAACCTGTGACAATCGTGCAAAAATTCCCTGATCTCTTGCAGCAAGTTGTATTCGAAGTTTGCGAGTGAGTATTTACTTTATCTTTTAAAATTCGTTTCGTTGGTGCAAATCAAAAAAAAACGAGGTACGATCATTACTTTCCTAGCACGTTCGATCGTGATCTGTGAATATATGCGACGTGTTTCCAATTTAAATTCGTCGAGACCTACCGGTAAGTACATTAATTCGAATCTGGCACAGTGGGCCGAACAACTCTGACCAGGACAAAGCCTACTTTTGAAACGTTTTGGACCAGTATTTCCGTGTGATTATCGAAGCACTGCGTGTCGATAGATCAGTCATAGCAAACTGCCAAGAATTATCAATCTTGACACCTTTTTCTTCCCTCGTCATCGGTTTCATACATTTCCTGTTAAATAATGCATAGTATAGAAACGTTAACGCATTGTTCCAGATCGAAGGAGTGCGATGTAGTCCACGGTGAGTGCACGCAGACATACGTGCCATACCTGTTCCTGGTGATTCCACTTGGACCGGTGACCTTGACCGGTCAAGATTACGTTCTGGTCGAGAGTGGTTGCGTGTGCAAGCCGAGAAATTCGGCGAGCGCCATGTCTGAGCCTCCGGCTGTTCCAAGCTTTTAAACGTTCGTCGAACTCTAGCGATCGACATCGAGCGCACTTTTACACCTTCTGCGCTGGAGGACATACAGCTCGAGATCCGTGTCGAATGTGACGAATCGGTGGAAGGTGACCCGAAGCTCGAACAACCTCGCCGAGGAACCTAGTAACCTCTTTGACGAAGCTAGCAAAGGATGCTGAAACCAGTATTGAAGTCGCTAGAGAATTGATTT